GTATTTCTTCTTTTGCGTGTGGATGCGTGTGTGATTGCGCAAAGCCATGGGGTTAGTGAAGGGCTTAGAACAGAAGTTGCAACAGTAGTGCCCCGTCTTGTGGGTATTTTTGTGATTCAACAGTGAGCCTGCATGGCGATAGCTGCGATTACATATGTTGCACCTGAAAGGTCGCTCCTCTTTATTTGGAAACGTATTTAAATCTGCTTCCCTGCTACCCGAAGGTTGATCACAGGTGTGGGCTGCCAGCTGGTCTGCAGAGAAAAAGGCCTGTTTACATTCCTTACACTTAAAGGCTTTAGATTTTAGACCCCTTCTGACTCCAGACCTATCTTTTCTGAGGTCTCCACAGACATGAGCTAAAAGCTGCTTCCTTCCTCTAAAGCCCTTTCCACAGTTTTGGCAAGAGTGCCTTTTATATGCAAAGTGGGTGCGTAAGTGGTTCTTCATTGCTAGCTGGTTGGTGTAAGTGTTGTTGCAAACTGCGCAGGAATATTGACCCGTTTTATGAGAGTTTCTATGGTTAACCAAACTTCCTGCATGGCGATACGTGCGACCACACTGGTCACAGGCAAAAGGTCGTCGGTCACCTGCATCCTCCGATTTCACTGACATCTCCGACTTTGTCTGCGTTTCTCTTTCTTCAGTTGGCTCCTTGCAGCGCAGAGCAGAATTACAATCCTGATTGGCATCTGAAGCTAAGGGCTGCATTCCTCCATCTGACCTGGTCCCATTCATCTGCATAAGGGCCTGGATCTGGCTATTGAGTTCCTGGATTTTGGCTTGGTTCTCTTTGTGCCTTCTCAGGTGATTCAGTAGCTGCTTCTGAATTTTGAAAGCTTTCCCACACTCGTGACACGTATGCCTAAGGAAGGAGACAAGGGTTATAGTTAATTCTATGTTTGAAAAACTGGGCACAATCTCCACAACGACAGAACACTTTGACTCCGTGACAGACAAAAACACAAATCCGACCCTATAAGCAAAGCTTTGTTTTTAATCCCTTCTTTCCAACAAGCACAGATCATCTATAAAATTAATTAATAGTATTAATAGTGTGCATTCATGCCAAACTAACCTCTTAATATCAAAATGGGATCTCTGATGATTTTTAAGGGCCAGCAGGTTGTAGAAGCGTTTCTGGCAGACGAGACATCTGAAGACACCCGTTTTGTGTGACTTTTTGTGGTTGAGGAGGGAGCCAGCGTGCCTGTATGACCGGCCACACTGATCACACTTGTATTGACGTTTCTCAGTATTGACCATGTCTTTGTCAGCACCCGTGTCTTGGTGCTGGGCAACCTTGTTTACTTTCACTTCCTCCTTGCTGTCCACTAACTCCTGTTTCCTCTCAGCTGTGCAGTTGTGGTTCTCAAGATGATGGTAGCTGGTGCAAAAGATGCCACAGCTTCCACAGATGATGTTTTGCGCTTCCTCCTTGCTTTCAGAAACATCATTATTAATGTGGAAAGGTTTAACATTATCTACCTGGTCCTGATTGTGCACAAGCTGATGAGCAATCAAGTCTTGCTGATTGGCAAAACTTTCCCCACATGTACTACAGATCATCATTTCTCCTAACTCCCCATCTTTCAAATCTTCATGAGAGGATGTGGAAGAAGGACCTGAGCTTGTAGGAGTGCCGTGGGATTGTGTGTGCCCTCGGAGATGGCTCCTGAGAGCCCTCATGGTTGTGTAGCTGTTGCCACATATGGAGCACTGATAAAGGTCACCATCATCTTCCTCATCTGTGTTAACATCTTCTTGGCCACTGTTCAGCCGTTCACTTCCAACATTTTCTTGGAAATTTTGTTCAAAGTGACTTTGGTTGTGGCTAGCATTCAGACCCTGGAACTCAACATTAATTCCTGGATTTCCAACTTCACAATGGCCATTACTGACCTGGAAGTTTAAACTGTTGTGATAGTCACCATTAGTACTGTTATGTTGCTGATTCAGCAATGGGCAGCTGTGAGACTTAATCCCTGCAATATCTGCAAATGTCTCACCACAGTCTGCACACATGTGCCTCTGCATCAGGTGTTCATTGTGAGGTAGATGCACAGTCATATCCTGGGAGAAGTCCTGATTAAACTGCTCGTGGTACAGTGCTCCATTCCTGCCATCAATTCCATTCTCCTGATCCATACAAAGCACAGGATGAGCACTGTTCTCTTCTTCATCCTGGGAGGAGAAGCAGCCCTGCTGGTTATCCAAAGTCAGAGGCTCTGAGGAGAGCCAGTCTCCCTCAGCACTGAGATTAAGAGAAGACGGCTGAGCTTTGTGGAGGCGAAGATGACTTTTGAGGGCTGCCAGGTGAGGGTAATTCTTCCTGCAGATGGAACACTGGTAAATCCCAACCTGATGTGACCTTTTGTGGTTGATGAGGCTCCCAGAGTGCCGGTAGCTTTTACCGCAGATCTGACACTTGAAGGGACGCTCATCAGAATCTACAGTTGAAGTCTCTTCAATTTCAGGTGCATTGCAATTATTTTGTGTGGGCATCAGGGTAGGACTGAGAGTGTTTGTGTCCATGATTGGGGGATCTCCCTGAGTGCTATTGGACGATGGGGTTTGATTACTGGAGCAGTCAGAGTACATGTGAGCGTTACTTCTAATCTTCTCTTGTGTATCAAAGTCTCCATGACTATCCATTGATGACACCGGAGGAATATTGTTTATAGGAGAAGCATAAAAGTTGGACTCGGGTGAAGCAATACTGTTTTCATATGATACACTGTGGCTCTCTGACAATGGATCTTGAAGACCAAATGACAGAGATGAAGAGTTATGCATTTGGATGTGTTCCTGGAACTCCTCATTGTTTGGGAAAAGTACCTGACATAAATGACAAAAGTTTACTGGAGCATCTTGGCTCTGAGGTGAAAACTGGTCAAGAAGTGTGCCTGCGTATGACCCACCTGTCGAAGTGAGGTCAGTCCCGCCTCTCGCCTTGTGTGTTCGCTGATGGCTGTAAAGGGCAGCCATGTTACTGAACAGTTTGAAACATACTGTGCACTCAAATGTTCCCACTTGGTGAGTCTTTTTATGGTTGGTCAGGCTTCGATGGTGTATGTATGACTTGTCACATAAATCACACCTGAATGGTCGATTTACTGCATCCTCTGAGGTCTCCGATTGCACATTATAAACAATCTCAGCCTTGTCCTCAGATGGGCCATTTACTGTGGAAATCCCAACGCTGGCCAAGTGCTCACTAAGATGATGTGGGTGATCGTTTTCAAGTTCATGTCTGTTTTTATATGAGGAATATTCCGTGTCCACCTTCCGATATGACTGCTCTTTTGCTTGTCTGGCAAAATGAACCCTCTGATGTGTAGCCAGCTGCGTTGCCAGGCGAAAAGCTTTTCCACATTCCGCACAGGAATACTTTTTAAGGGAAGTGTGGCTCCGGAGATGACTCTTCAGGGCCGAGGCATTAGAGTTTTCTTTTCCACATATATTACACTGAAAAGAACCTACTTCGTGAGTCTTTTTGTGGTTAGTTAGGCTACCAGCATGCCTATAACCACGTCCACATTCATCACATTTAAACTTGCGTTCTTCATCTCGCTCCTGATGGCACTCCATATGTTCGACTAGACTGGGCATACTGGGACACACCATACCACACTGTTTGCAAGGAAAACCTGTTGTCCTGCCATGGTCTTGCAAAGCCATCACAAGATATGGACTGAATTAAGTGCGCCAGACACAAAATAGGGCGGAAATGCATTAGATGCCTTTCTTATCCATATAAAAAGAAGGCAGTTCTTTATAATATGATGCAAGGACTCTCTATGGGATATAGCCACAGAAATACGTCAAAAACAGGTCCCATCAGATCACTGAAGTGAGTTGAATTTGAAGAATCCAGAGAAATGGAGCTGTGGAGAACAGAAACAGTATTAGTTTTATAAAGCACGTCAAATTAGACACTTTAGGACGCCGCAGATAACTCATTACTATTAAACTCATACAAATGAAAAGTACAAACTTTTAGATAACTATATTACAGAGTTAATGTGTTACCACCAGTAGTCAACATGCATGAGGGAAGACGTAATAGCGGAGTGTAAACAGTCTGACAGGTTTTGCTATACCTCTGCACCAACAGGCTAACTGAACTAGCTATGTCAATACACCAGGAAAACAACGCCTGTCAATGCAAATGTACTGACACTGCAAATCCGCATCACTCTCCACATCGTGATCAAAAGCGGAGCGGATTATGCACGCTGTCGTTGAGTTTTTAGGAAGAGGAAGAAACTTAAATATGAATGGTTTCAAAATGCAGTGAGCTAACATTAGCGGAGTGTGAGCTAGCATCATCTTGGCTAGCTAAACAAACATTGCACCTACTGCAGCAGAAAGCGTTTTTAAACGCGAAACTCCAAAGACCAGCGACTGCACGGAGTTTAATACCTGCGGGAGTAGTTATTCCAAGCGAGCCCCAAAGACCTATATTCACTCGCTTTTTTTAAAAAAAAAATCACTTTTGTGTAAAGGGCAGCCCCCCTTTTTCCAATTGTCTTTTTTCTTCCATCCCCATTTCCACATTGCGCTTGTTGCTAGGAAACAGGAAATGTGCAACAGAGAAATAATTCCCTCTCAAAAGTAACTCTACTAGCTCAAGATGCAGCAGCTAATCGATAAACCGGTAAAAAAAATAATTATACATATATATATATAATACGTTGTTTTTAAGCAAATAAAAAGCAGGAGGTGAATGTTCATTTTTAGTTCATTCTCAAAATATCTTACATAATCCGCCCCAAAACATACTGGTTAGCTAAAATAGCTAGATTTGCATTTAAGTTGAGCAGTTGGGCAAGCATCTTTCCATTTTAACACACAATTGTCGAACTTTATTGGGACTGTAGTATCTTACTAGAGGGCTTATTGTACATTTATGATGTGTGTTATAAAATAAAATTTTATAATTAAACGTATTACACGCTTGGCTTTCCAAGAGCTGTCGTCATCATGGTCCTAGAGCCGTCCGCTCTCGCACAGCCAGTCAACGGCAGCCACCGTGTCTCACAGTAAACGAAGCCCTTTACCGAACGGCGATTAATGCCCTGATTCCGGTAAGATCGACTTTTGTTTTTCTAATACACGCAAGCAACTAACTTAGCTAAATACATGCTGTACATGTACAGTAATGATGATGATGGCACTGTGGAATGAATCGGTACAGCCGGTCCTAAAGCCAGCCATTTTGAGTTAGTGAAAATATCTAGCAAGCTAAAGCTAGCGGAGGGGTATACGTACATAACACGCCCGGGCTGCTCGTAGTACCATCACCCTAAGCTGCGATCTCTGGTGTTTTTCTCTGGTCGTGCACATGCCACTTGTTCATCTTCATGCACTATGATCTCTGACATTACCTCGCCAACTTCCTTTGGCATTAAAGCGGCTAGCTTATTGTCCCTGAGGTCCTAATGCCAGCCATTTTGTTATTAACTGCACACCCACATATTTCTTTTATTATCTGACTGATTATTTCTTATCCCTCAAAACCCACTTTCATTAAAGTTGTACTCTTCAAATCCATAAAAGTCATAGAACTTAACACCCTCATGTCTGTGGAAGAATTTTTATCCCAAGCTGCCAATGGTGTGTTTTTATTTTTTACATTGTTATTAAACGGTACATTTTTTTGCCATCATCTTTTTTTGTAGATGTAAAGATGGCCTCTGCTCAGCCTGCAAGTCCACCTCTTGCTGCGGAGTACACCCCTCCTGTGCAGGATGAAGAGGGCCAAGAGGAAGAGGTGGAGAGGGATCAGCCTGCAAAAAAACGTGGCAGAGGCAGGCCTCCGAAAGCCAAACCCCTTTTCAAATGCACTGCATGCACAGAGGCCTTTAAGAGTCTGTCAGCTCTGCAGAGCCACAAGCAGTCGGCACATGTGAAGGAACGGCAGCAGCACCCATGTCCCGAGTGTGCCAAAACATTCTCGAGCAAGGCTCAGCTCTCAAAGCACGAGCGCACTCACTCAGCCCAGCGCCCCTTCCAGTGTCCCAGCTGTCACAAAGCTTACAAGACGCCCACAGAGCTGCGTAACCACAGCCGCTCTCACACTGGGGAGAAACCTTTTGTATGCACAGAATGTGGCAAGGCCTTCATGCAGGCGATATGCCTCAGGATCCATATGACACAGCACAGTGGAGAGCGCCCGTACTCCTGCCGTCAGTGCTCTAAGAGCTACCCAACCCTGTCCAAACTGAAGGTGCACATGCGCTCTCACACGGGAGAGAAGCCATACTTGTGTGCCGAGTGTGGGAAGAGCTTTGCTGACCCCTCAGTGTTCCGAAAGCACAGAAGGAACCACCAGGGCCATCGACCGTATGCTTGTGACGAATGCGGCAAAACATACACTGAGCTGAAGGACCTCAAAAACCACGAGCGTTCCCACACTGGGGAAAAACCCTACCTGTGTTCGGACTGCGGCAAGGCCTTCTCCCGCTCCTCCTCCCTGGCCTGCCATCAGCGCATCCACTCGCAGAATAAACCCTATAAGTGCGAGCAATGCACTAAAGGCTTCACCCAGCTTTCTTCCTATCAGTCCCATCTCCGCACTCACTCTGGTGAGAAGCCGTTTCTCTGCCCACAGTGCGGCAAGATGTTTTCAGACCCCTCCAGCTTCCGTCGGCACCAGCGAGCCCACATGGGATTCAAGCCCTACCCCTGCGATAAATGCTCCAAGAGGTTCCGGCAGCCGGCCGACCTGGCCGTACACGAGCGCGTTCACTCTGGAGAGCGCCCGTACAAATGCCAGAGCTGCGACAAGGCCTTCGTAGCTTCCTGGGATCTGCGGCGCCACATGCTCGTCCACACAGGTCTGAAGCCATTTATGTGCACAGAGTGCGACAAGTCATTTGCTGAGCGCTCCAGCCTCAACAAGCACCGGCGTGTGCACTCTGGAGAGAGGCCTTTCAAATGCGAGGAGTGTTTGAAGTCATTTGTGGTGTCCTCAAGCCTGCGCAAACACGAAAGAACTCACCTCGCTGAGCAGTCTGAGCAACAGCAGCAGCAGCAGGAGACAGAGGCTGGGTCACCCTCAGGCTTCACTGCCCACACAACTCTCCCTCAGTTCTCTTGTACTCACTGTGATGCTACATTTGGTACCTGGGAAGAAGTTCAGACCCATGAAAACCTTCACCCCATTGACTCTACCCAGTCCGTTGCCAAAATCGTGTCGCTGGGCTCGCACATCTGTAAAACCTGCCACGAGGAGTTTGCACAGCTTGCAGACTTGCAGGAGCACGAAAAGCAGCATCCCAAGCCGAGGCCGCACGTCTGCGACAGCTGCGGCAAGGGTTTCCTCAACAAATCGGGACTGCGCAAGCACCAGAAGATCCACTCCAACAGCAAACCCCACAGCTGTCCCCACTGCGGCAAAGCCTTCCTGTTCGCCGCGTACCTTCGCAAGCACTTACGGACTCACGCGGACGCCGCACCGGTTGCCACGCAGCTCGCCGACATAAACATCATTCACACAGACCCCCTGCCTTCTCCTCCGACCCCCAGTGAGGTTTCTCCCTCGTCGGTCGAGCCCGGCACCATGTCACTGACTGTCCCGACCGTGACTGTCCCCGTCACCACTTTCCAGTCTCTTCGAGAGTACTTAGTCAAAGAAGAGGGGATTTAAGCTTCTCTGTCATTTTAATTCCACACATATTTACCCCGTGGCCTTAAAGCTGTTTTTTAGATGGGTCTGACTTTTCAAAATAACTTCCTTAAGAAACATCAAAAACGCATTATCCTTATGTAAACGGTCGACATTTGGTCTTTGTTTTGTATTGCTGCAGTATTTTTAAAAACAGTTATGTGTATTATATGTTAATGTATTAAAATATACAGTATACTGTACTATAAGTACCTTACTATAAAATTGTCGTATCTGTTGTAATCTCGTCATAAAAATCCACCATAAAGAAAACAAACGAAACCAACAATTAAATCCTTGGCTTTATGGCCGACATGTTTTTATAAAACATTTTTAAATGTTTTTTTGAATCTCTTTTGTCTGAACAATTTGTAACTGCTTCACTGTGTCGCTAAAACAACTTGTCAAGCTGCAAAAGGTCGCTGGCATTCAGAAATGCCAAGAGGAATCACATTTTTATGCCAATAAAAACGTGTGTGCAACAATCAGTAATAATCGGAGATTCACTGTGTTGTGGTCCTGTTTTTTTGGGGGGGGTTTGTGAGTCCGTGTAGTGTTTCTGTTACTGTTGAGGATGAAGATGTACAGAAAAAACTGAGACCGTGTCAGCAGATCGTTTGGTGAGAAACTAACACATATATTGATGACCGTGACATTTCTTGAACCCATAAAAGATTGAAGGCAAAGCCACAGTGATTGTGTTCTATTAGTGCGCTGTGACCCTGCAAGGTAATATCTCTTGTCTGCTTTACTTGACTCCTATTATACACTAAGATGCTCAGACACAAACAGAGCTGTATGCATTTGCTGTGACATTTGTAAATGTGTATAAAATTAGTGTTTTTTTAAAAAAAAAAAAAATGTTTGATGCACTATAATCTGTGTCCAGTTGTAGCAGTTTGTTGGTTTTGTCTGTGTTTGCACATTTGAAGATGGAAAACCCAACTTTGGAGATGAGATCTACAACTTAACTACCATAATTTAGCACAAAAGCAAAATGATCTCTCATCATGACCTAATATGTCACCTAATTGTTTATATGTTTCACCAGCTTCCTCTTTTATATTACCAGGAAAAGTGACAATGGCAGCAATAGTAACGGGCCTCATCCCAATCCTGAGAACAGCAGTGGATACCACCGCCACCTACAAGTGCCGCTCCCTGTGGTTCGGCCTGCTGTGTGTCCGACTTGTGGTCCTCTTCTTTGCTGAGCTGCCCTTCAGCAAACTGGATGCTGACTTCACCTGCAATAGCAGCACCCCCGATGTCTGCACGAAATTCTGTTTTAATGAACGATTCGACAAGCCCATGATAGTGGCTTGGAACTTCATGTTTGTCGTGGTTGTCATCTCTGTCCTGCTCATGGAGTTGTTCACCTCCCACCTCCGCACAATGGCGCAGAAGAGGAGCTTCAGGATGAAGGCGGATGAGAAGCCGGAGACTCAGGGGGCAGAGGAAGCTCAGACGGTGGTAGGCAGGGGCAAGATGATCATAGATCTCCACAAAGACAGGAGCACCGTAGGCTTCTACCTGCTCAGCATAGCTCTGCGGATTCTGGTTGAAGCCTGCTTTTTATTTTTGCTGCTTTATTGGAACCTGCACGCACTCCGTGATGAACACACGTGTACAAAAGAAGGCTGCAAATATGTTTGCATTTTGAGGGCTGCCCCGGAGAAGCGCATGTCTATTTATGCTTTAGCTTCTATCTCAGGCATAATCATTATTTGCTCAGTTTTGTTTTGCGTTTACTCTATTGTCCACTACCTCTGCAACGCTTAAATATCAGACTCCATGTACATATTCCGTGGGTATGAAATGTGCATACATACATATCCTGTTAATTTTGTGTCTTATATTTCTATAAACAGAGCTTTATGGTTATAATTAGGAATATTATACATGTATAGTACTACTGAAATAAAAATCTCAAAAACTGCTTTGTTGCATTTCGTTATGTTAACTTTTGTTTTAGAGTTGTTAAAAAAAAGTGCTATGAGATCTATTTTGCTGACATAAAGGATCTGGGTGTTGGCTTCATGGTGGTGTTTCTGAATCATGTTTTTACTTGGTCAGTGCACAAACTCAGGCGCAAGCGACACTGTCAAACACAAAAGCAGTTCTAACTGTAAAACTGCATCAGTAGTTTTCTTGTGTAACATAAAAAAAAAAAATCAAGCATGAGAAATGAGGTGTGAGATATACTGTAATGCATTATTTACAATGTGAAATATTTGGAGGGATATCCATCCAGCCAAATAATCAAAGTCTAAGTGCAGCATTTGGCCTCGGCATTCAGACTCGAGTTGCTTTCCAACGAGGTAAAAGGGGAAGGAGGACAGTTGGCTGGGCTTGTGTTTATTCTGAGATAGATTTCTTGTTTCTCTGCTTCATGGTGTAGAACAGCGCTGCAGCAGCGTCTGTGATAGACTGGCGGGAAGAGAAGAAAGGAGGATTTATAGAAAAAGGAATCTGGACAGCATAGTAAGTATTCTAATGAGAAGCAGTATAAGAGAATGAATTACCTGTGAGTCTGAGCTGACGGTGTTTTTCTGGGGAGGGGAAAGGAATTAAGTGTAAAAGAAGTCTAATGTGATGCATTCAATCTAATAATAAAAACACACAGTAAAAGCTCACCTGTGTGCAGTTGGTGTAAATCGGCTCCATGGTTTTAACCCATTCGTTGTATGTTTGTTCTGCCTCTGCACTGTGGTTATGCTTTCTGAAAACAGCCAAACATTATGCATAAATCATTATCTATTAATCACAACACATTATCTTGATATTACCAAGATAAGGAATATAAAACATACAGTTCTGTGCAAAAGCCTTGACCCAATCTTCATTTCTTCATAGTGGTCTTGAGCAATAGGTTCTGGATTTCTTGATGCCTTTGGACATTGGCTGCTTTTCCTTCTTTCATTTATTTTTAGAAATGATCTGACACAGGACCTGAGAGATGCATCTGACCCTTCAGTTGATGCATCTGCTGTTCACTGAAGCCTCATCAGAAATGGCCTCAGTGGAAAGGTGGCTATGAAGAAGCCATTCTTAAGAAAGAGAAACAGGAGAAAAAGGCTGATGTGTGCCAAATTACACAAAAACTGCACTGAACAGGTTTTATGGAGCGATGAGCCCATAAATGTTACATTTTTAGGTTGAATTCTCAAAATATATGGATGCGGTCAGGCGAGAGGAACAGCAGTGATTGTCTAACGCCATCTGTAAAACACGATGGCGGCTCTGTCAAAGTTTGGGGTTGCATTTCAGGCAGTGGTGTTGGAGATTTTGTCAAAATTGCTGGAAATATGAATGCAAAATATACCAGCGAGATTTTGTTTCACCATGCATTACAATCTGGAAAGCATCTGATTGGCAGTGGCTTTATTTTTCAGTATGACAATGATCCCAAGCACAGAGTGGAACACCATCAGTCATGAATTGGCCTCCCCAGAGCCCCAACATGAACATTATTGAACCAGTGTGGGCAGAAAACAGAACAAAAGACAGCCAACATCCAAAGAAGAACTTTGAGTGTTCTTCAAGAACCCTGGAGAACTATTCCTGAGGACTGCTTAAAAGAAATGACAAGAAAGCTCAACTACGAGACTTCAGGCTGTGTTTAAGAATAAAGGTTTCCACACCAAATATCGACCTTTGTTGTGGAAACTTTAACAATAACCTGCAACGCACACAGTGAGCGTTTTGAAGTGATTTAAGCAGATGGAGCCTCAATATCTGTTACAGTGTGAGACCATAAGGCCCATTTGTAGCACACATGCATACAACTAAGTGAGAAAGTGATATTACTATTACTAATGTGATATGATTAAATATGTGATTCAACCTTGTTAAAATTGCACAAACTGTTTTTGCTTGATAAACTATATTTCCATCAAATAAAGCATTTTTGGTGACTCAAGACTTTTGCACAGCACTGTAAATAAAGTCAACATGAGAACTTTTAATACAATTTAAAAGGAAAAAGTGAAAAACCAAGCTGCAGGGTAACCTTTGAATCAGAAAGTCTGGGATAATAATGGTCTTAAAAGCACAGGAAGCGCCTGAGCTTCTGCTTCTCAACGCAGTCATATTTCTCATCTAAATACCACATAATGCCAAATGTGCTTAAACTCATTTTTTCACCTTCTTATTTTCATACTTGTGTCATTTTGTCTGTCGATTCAGCCTTATTAAATGTCAGAATTCAGCATAAAACGATGGCCTTCAGTCAGAGGTCCCTGCTGCTACTCACATCGCTCTCTCAATAAGCTGCTTCTGCATGTCTCCTTCCCTCCTGGCGTAGAGCAAGCGACCTCTGACAGCCAGAGCGGCGCTGGCTTGTGACGAGTTGAGCTGAATGATGGCCAGACACAGTGAGGACAGCACTGCCGAGCTGGGGAGGGGGCACAATGTGTTCACAAGAGTGCTTCTCAACATTTACTGCATCGGCATTGCCATTATGTTAATGTGGAAAAACACACAGGCCCCTCTCTGGATCTGCTCAGACGATGAATTGCATGACCTTCACTGAGCGTGTGAAGACTGGGCTGAGTGCTTCATTTACTGTGTAACTAAATGTTAGAATGGATGAGGCATTATTTCTGCACGAAAGCTCTGGTATCTCAGCAACAGTCAGTCTCCTTGGATTATCGAAACCTGCTTTGCCTAAAGGTTCACTGAAATTGCCATAAAATAATACATCTAATCACTTGTTGTCCTGAGGGGCAGAACGTCTCGCTGATTAAAGATGTCAGAAGATAATGGCTTGTTTAAGCCATCCATAGACATGCAAATATCTCTGTGTAGTAAAGCTGCAAGTGGAGGAGAATTCAAAACTAAAAAGTAAATAAAGCATTGTAATTAAAGATTTGGCATTATCACCCGTCATCAGTAACTTCCCGGTCTGCAGTTATCAGTCTGAGCATGGTCCGCCCATTCCTCTGCCTGTACTTGATCTGCAGCTGGATGGATACACGGCTATTAGGAGATGGTGGCGGCACTATAAAAAAAAAAAAAAAAAAAAAAAAAAAAAAAAAAAAAAGGAGTGATTTGACAGTTTAAAAACAAAACAAAACGAGCTGTATGAATATTTTAACTCAAGAGGTATGAGTAAAATCTGCAATTACCCCTGCGTGTGAATCTGCGCCACACTGTTTCCTGCGTGTCATTCCCCTGACTCTCTCTCCCTGCCCTCCCGGCTGAGACTATCTGTGGTGGGTAAATGAGTTAAATGTTGCTCTGGCCTGCATGATCAGTCCCTGGTCAGTTTGGCTCAAATGAAGCATTTTTCGCCCATCTGATGCACATATCTCAGAATTCAGGCTAAATCCCTCAAGGCAAGTGTTCAGTGATCCCGAGTTGAATTTGGCCTGTAAGTGAATCTGTTTATGTTGAATAAATTCAGATGGTAATTTACCAACACTAGATGGAAGAGCCTTTTACCAATGTGTTTTGCCACAGGGATTTCGTCTCTATAAAATACAGCTGGACACACTAAAGAAAATGCACAGCCATGGTGGGATCAGAGTAGAAGTCAGGGAACCATGACTTAATTTACTGAAATCTTTTTTTTCCTCTGCTGTATTTTTTCCCTGTTTCTTAGTTGTTATTGTCTTGTTTTTCCAAGTCCCAGTTATCAGTGTAACATGTCTGGGTCCACTTTGTTATGTTTGCTTTGTTAGTTTATGTTCAGATGCTGTGACTCTGGCTGCGTCTCACTTTGCAGTGTTGCAATGATCTCAAACTGAAATTTCTGTTTTTCATGGTTGGCAACAACAGAAATCACCACATGTCGCACTTTCCTCAAAGACCTGGCAACACGCGGCAGCTGCGATATTGAGAAATTCAGCACAACTGCAGCTGAAACTGAGAAAATAAACGAGCCAGTGGCGTCAGTCTATAAGAGTGTTTATTTTCCTCACCTTCTGAGACCTTTTCATTTGCTCTAAACTGGAAGGTGATGTCTGTATCTGGGTCCACATTCCCCACCTGTCTGGTCCCTTTGTGTCCTGCCTCCTTCTCTCCCTTCATGCACCTTTACCCAAGGAGAACATGACTCAGTGCTTAGGGTCATTTAAATCTCTAGAGGACCAATTCAATGAGCTCATTTTAAGTAATTATGTGCAGTGCAGCTCTCACATTGATTTTGGCAGCAGTATAATTACAGTACAGTGTGTGGCAATGGTCCGGTTTTGAATGATCTGCTCAAACTCTGGATGCAGCCTGCTGGGACTGGCTATTACCACCTAGACTCAAAGGGAAAGCACAGATTGACACCATGAGATTGTGCATGATTTGATGAGTCATATGCTTCGCCATGGTTACAGTGCGCCTTACCTTTCCTCTAGTACGATCAGCAAGTTTCCCCAGCTCATCCAGTCTACAGTCTGTTCCCTCTATGGACAGCACAGACACTGTGACGCTAAAAAAAAAGAAGAAATCTGAGGATCATCACAGTGCATCAAGACCTTTCATTGGGTAATATGAGTACTAGTGCTTTTAATAGAGACTTAAATACATAACTGCCTCAACAAGTTCATTCACTGTCTCTTTTTACGTTAGCGTAGAGCAGCGGTGTCAAACATAGGGCTCGCAGAGCCAGAACAGGCCCACCAAAGACTCCACTCTGGCCCACTGGATGAAGGGGGACTTTTCACTGTATTCAAGTTTTACAGCAGTATGTGATAAACTGTTAAATGACAGAAAATTTCCTGTTTTTACATGATCTATTATTTAAATTCATGTTTTTTCAGTGGGTCCAGAGTAAAGATATTTTCTGTAATTTTACACATTTATCATTTTCTTTTCTAAATGTACTTGTATATTGTTCACATGTTGAAATAAATTACCAATCAATCAATCATGTCTGGCCCACTCAAGTTCAAACTTAAGTGAATTAGACATGCCTGACGTGGAAAATTTAGTTAGAGGTATATGCTCACCCGTTATCAGCAGCAAACTCTCCCAGCTCCTGGTAGAAGATGGTGGATGAGACGGGAGTAAGAGCATCGGTGTCTTCCACTTCTAGATTTCCTAACTCTGTGTTGGCTTTCCCGTCTGTACAGATAATCACCTTCAAGATCAACAGGGAAAGAGAATCGGGAATGCACTGTTTAGAAAGCTGAACTGTAATTGATTACCACAAGGAGGTCTTAAAACATTTTCATGCAGTAAATATTTATATAGCCCAGCTAACTATATGGTTCAATCCACTTTTGGTAGGTAAAATAAAAAGCAGTTTGAGTCTAGCTGGAGAGATTTGTTGCATATTTTCCACCTTGCTCTCACTCTTTGTTTCCTGCCTGCCTTTATCCTGCTCACTTACCCGTAAAATTACAAAATCCTAAAGAAGCTCCATCAGCCAAAGGCCCAAATTCTCATTAGTGTTGTGACATAAGATTCAAGCAGGTAAGCAGGACACATAAACTGGATAAAAACTGATTTGTTGGCCAAACTTACCTTTGAGCCTGGTTGTCTGGAGGCAATTGCAATTGCAAGCAGAGCAGCTGGACCCAGAGCGGTGGCTCCACTTGCAGACAGTCTTTAAAATAAATCAGCAATAGGAAGATCAATACATATAATGCAATAATCTAATTAAAACAAAACATCTAATTTTTTTAAAAAAAGAATTTTTTTTCCATACCCCACAACTTGTCTTTCTAAATACTCCTTTGTCTGTGAAAGTGGAGGTGGACTAGGAAAACTGGCCGCAATCTCTTTCAAATAAAGGCTTTCAATCAACTGAGCCCCACTCAGACAACGTGATTTGAAATTCTCATATCCGTGCATTGTCACCTGAAGATGCAAACACCGAAAGATGAAAAAAAGAAGTAATAAATAAGTTTATACCAGATAATAAAGAAAACAGTGAGGAGAATCAAATAAAATCCACCGTAAAAAACAGCATTTAATGATTTTAGACAAGGAAAATTCCAGTGAAGCAGCTGTTTTGTACACTGAAGTGAAAACTTATAATAATTTTACAGCTTCCACCTCACCTCACTCCTCCTCCTATCAGAGAGAAGAACAAGGTACAGAAGGTTACCTGCCTAGTGACAGAGACCATTAGCCTCGTCACAGCAGGTAGTTTGCAGTAAATAGTATTATGATCATAGTTTGCGACAACAGCTAGCCTAGTTTGTGCTTGTTCTTCTTCCTCCTAACACAAAATGTAAGGTCAGCATGACTCTGCTCAGGAGCAGGCAGTGGAGATGCAAACAGCGTCACGTATGTACCTCATGGTTGAAGGAGATGAGCCCCACTCTTGTGCCAGGTTGTTGATCGTTTAATCTCTCAATGCACAGTGACACAGCTTCTTGGACAAACTGGTTAGAATAGAACAATCTTTGATTTGTAGCGTCTCTTCACATAATTGTCAAAAATAATATCACACAAAAATTCTCAGCCACAGATTTCAACTGGCAAATATCCCGAGTCCTTCAAGGTAACTTCAAAATAAGGAGAAAAAAGAAAGACAACTCACCTGGAGACGGGATTTATTCACAGTATGCTCTCCCTCTGACACCTAAAAACAGTAGAGACGCCACAGGTTGTATTCATGAACACCTGCTGTCACAAACAGCCTCGTGATGCCAAGTGTCTGTAGTGTTGTTGTACCTCGGAGGTGATTTTCATTGAGCCTGATACATCAATGCAGAAGAGCAGCAGAGGATCCGTATCGCACAAAGGCTTTTCATTAGGATTGAGTAAAAAGAGTTCGTCCTGGTAACCATTTAGAGGACTCTGCAGTAAACTGGGCGTGTTGGAAAAACTGGAGGATTTACAGAAATAACACTCATCAACCTGAAATGCAGCAAAAGGAGAGAACACAAACTCAGGATCATTTAAACCAGACAAGTTGTCCATGTTTCCTTATGATGTGATCAACAATGTGCACGCTTCTTTCAGGTTATCCATTTCTGAGATCAGCGCCTCTGAAATGTGAATTAATAGTTATCGGTTTTCAGGTTTAATACGATGCAATTACCGTATTGTCATAGCAAGTGTCCACCACGGAGCCACATTGGGAGCAGAGGCTGTGTACTCCCTGTATGGGGTCAACTGGAAAAGAACAAAAAGGTCATTGCCACCATGAAGTATGAACTGAAATCAAACTAGATTTTTTCAAAAACAGAATCACAGCCAATCAGATTAATTTTTATTGGTATGATGTTGATGTGGTGATAAAGGTTTACTTACCTTTTTCCTCTGAGAGTAATTTTCCTAAACTTACAAGAACAACATTAGGATTTCCTGGCAGATCTGCTGATTCTGGGTTTGGAATAAATTAAGCATTAAAAATATGCATTTCATACTACATCAGTTTTGTAATGGCTCAGCAGGGACTGCTGTAATCACCTTTAGCACTAGGGGATAGAGGAGTGTTCGGAGAGGTTGAAGGAAGTGAGTGGGACGAAGGTAACGGCATTATGTACTCGGGGACTAAATTCATGAATTCAGGTCTTGGAGGGATGACTCGGGCTAAGATGAGAGGAGAAGAAAGGAGGATGATCTGGATGAGGATGTCCAATCAAATTAAACTGTGTTAATAAGACAAAGAATGTTGCCTTTTACCTTGTGATGACACAATGCCAGAATCAGCCGGCAGGTTCACTTCGCCACCAGTGCCTTCTGGTACACTGTTAGAGTAGTTTGGGTCCTGGGGTTGTGCATTTAAATCCGGCTCAGATTTTGGGACATCATAGGCAAGTTCTTGGTTGATGATACTTGACTGAGGGCAAATGAGCGGCTGGTCGTAAGAACATGGCTCTGATCTGGTTTTCAGGGGAGGTGGAAGAAGAGCTGGTAAAAACAAGCAGAAACAGAGTGTTGATCATAAATCTACTAAACTGCAGATTGTGCTAATGAGGCACAGTAAGAACCCAAACCTAAGACTCAAAGGCTGACATGAAGGAGCAAAAGATGAATGTTTATTACAACAAAGCCAACATAGCGGGAAGGAGACATGCTTATTTATACACAAGGAGGGTAATCAGGGGAATGGGAAACAGGAGGGTGATGGCACACAGCTGGACATAATCAGGGAACAGAGAGGAAGTAAAACTAAACACAAGACACAAAGGATGAAAAAAAACTACAAAATAAAACAGGAAATGTAGAAAGTTCCGACCCTACAAGGAGTTTGAACCCAGGAGCTTCTTGCTGTGAGATCAAGTAATAACCACTGCACCACAGTGCAACCCTGTTGTGTGTGTATATGTGTGTGTGTTTGTTTTTTTTAAACAACCACAACAGCAATGACCACAAAAAGAACTCTTAAAAATGGCTGCATTAGTCTAAGTAACTGATAAAATAGCATCCAACCTTTATGTGTGGTTTCTGTGTGGTTGGATGCTAAATGTAGTGTGAGCAGTTTAAAATAATACATTCAAATGACAATATCAGTGCTACATTCACTGTACCTGTCTTTTTAGGTGGTGTTGGCTGCTCAGGTTTTACACTGTTCAAAGAAGCTGCTGCCAGTATAGTATTTTCATAGAAAACAGAGTTCTCCAGGACTTTCTTCACATCCTTGCTATTTTCTGACTCTGTCTCAAGGTGCTTTCTTGGTGGGACAGGCGGCGGAGGAGGAGGAGACTGAGGACGAAGCCGAGGATTAGGAGGAAGAAGAGCTAATAAAAAACAAACAAACAATGAAAATACAAATTAATAGAATAGAATAAAAAGAAAAATCTGTGCAGTGTTGACCTTTGTGCTGTGACTCAGGTGGCTTTTACTGAGTAAACTACGTAAAAGTAAGCTCTACTCTAATACACACAGGAGAGGATGTGTGCAACTGCTTGAATAATGGGACGACCAAACAGTCGTCCAGAAAGCTCAGATGAAAGAAAAATCCACCTACAGATACTTTTACGTAGTTATGCATCATCAGCGTGTGATATTCAAAGCAAATATCTAAAGTCTGCAAATTTAAATAGTCTGTTTTTATTTATATGAAAGAAACTATATCATGATGTTTTTTTGTTTTGCTTTGCTTTGCTTTTGTTTCATTTGTTTGTTTGTTTAATTTAAGACTAAAATAAATTTAAATGAATTAGAGGTAAAATTTGAGGGGGTAGGGTCAAATAAGTGTATACTTCTGCCTACTCCTTTTCAAACAATGATATTATGTAATGATGGTGAATGTATATGTTTGAAATAAAAAATAAAATGAACTGATATGAAAGTTGTTATTTTGTGCTTATATGTTCTTTAATCTGTTTTCATAGTTTTATACTAGCTAACAACTTCAAACATTTCCTTTGGCAGAGACGGTAAACAGGTTACAAATGTAGCTGAAAGTATCAGCTTTGTGTCTATTAGAAGGATTTCACCATCAGCAGTGTCTATTTAAACCTGCAACTGCAGAATCTGATGTTTCCTGTTCTTGTTACGCATAGCTGAAATACTTTCTTTTGTCAGAGTTGACCAACTGTAAAGTGTCTGTGTCTATTTAGCAGCCAGTGGGACAGAAGCAAAAAACAAGTTGACACAGGAATGTAACATCTGAATTTTAAAAAATTAGTATGACTTCCATAACTTAAATTTCCCCTGTGGTAACGCATGCCGGTGTTTGACTGAGATCATACCTGAACGTTTAGTGATGTTTGGATAGCGTCTCTCCTTCTGACTCAATGATGGCGGCACATAAACAAACCCACAAGCAAATTCCATCGTGACTCTACCTGCCAGTGACAGAAATGACGCGATTAAACAAGACAATGAGTGACATTTAAATCAGGACGCAGTCCCACCCAAAGTATTTAAATAACTGTTAGCACAGATGTCCCTGAGTTGCAACTACTGTAAAAAAAAAAAAAAAAAAAAAAGGAAAACAAAATTAGGTGACATGAACGGATTCTTTAAACACAAGTAAGTAAAAGTACTTACAACAGAAAGTTCTTTGAATTCAATCTGTACAGTACAGCGAAAAATATACTTTCAACTCCGTCTGGTCTCAGAAATGTTTCAGTTGCTGTTCTGCGTCGTGTCTTTCATTGAGTTATGTCTCAGACATCTCATCCAACAGGTTTCTTTCCTCAAGAGACTTCACTCGTAGTTTGCTGTGAGGGTGTTTACCCAACTGTGCTTAAAAAATATCCCGAGTGTTGGCAAAATGGATGAATGTGCTGGGAAACAGGAACATTTGTGTCTTTTTTAAACCTCCAGTTTTAAACTTATTTTCTACTTCACCTACTGGTTATTCCAACCATAACAATCCATCCATCCATCCATCTAATTCATGGTCACAGAGGGATGGCTGGAGACGATTCCAGCTGTCATAGGTGGAGAAGTGGGGTACAACATTTACGCTGTCATCCAAAATGTTGGCACAAAATTCAACTATGAATTTTTTAGTTTTTTGTGGGTTTTTTTTAATTTTCTTTTTTTCTTACTTCAGTATATCACAATCCTCTCTGGACAAACACCCATTTTCAGTTCAGTCCTTGTACCTGATCATTATTAGAGGAGGGGTTTTGTTTGTTAAGCCAGCTAACACTGACCTATGAATCTTTCAAACATAAAAAAGGTGCCAACTACATAACTAAAACATAACAAACATAAATAACAAAAAAATTACAGAAAAAGAAATTTACAAAGCAGTTGTAAATTGTATCTTTAGGCACTTTGTTACTAGCAGCCTGTTGTAAAACAGATGATTTGTTTCCAAAATCATGGCCAATTGCCAAACCATTTGGCTACTGGCCAGAAACCTGGACTATATCAGCATGTTGTGCAATGTGCTCTAAAAAAACCCCAAAAAACTAGTGGCAGATCTACTAAAAAACCTACAGCAGATGAACAGTATCTTTTTCTGTCATCATGCGCTAAGAAACGGGAAAAAATCCAGCAAAGATCTGACACAAGATCCGACAGAGGCATCTGAGTCTTCAGTTGATCCATCTACTGTTCACTGAAGCCTCATCAGAAATGCTCTCAGTGGAAGGGTGGCTGCAAAGAAGCCATTCTTAGGGAAGGAAACTGTGAGAAAAGGCTCAAATGTACCAAATTACGGAAGAACTGCACTTAAATCAATGGCAACTCATCTCATGAAGTGACAATCCAATATTTACATTTTTGGTTTAAACTGTCAGATTGTACAAAGGCGGTCAGGCGAGAGGTACAGCAGTGAGTGTCTGTAAAACATGGTAGAGGCTCAGTCATGGTTTAGGATTGCATTTCAGCCATGGGTGTTGGAGATTTTGTCAAAATTGACAGAATTACGAACACAGAAAAGTGCTGTCAGATTTTGATTCACCATGCAATACCATCTGGTAAGTGATTGGCAACAGCTTCATTTTCCAGCTTGACAATGACAAAAGCATTCACTAGATCTGGAAAAAGAAATGATATGATAACTATATTTGTATAGCACTTTTGTTTTACAGTGACAAACAGTTACAAAGTGCTTCACAGTTTGAATAAAACCACACATTCAAAACAATAATACATATTGCAGCACACAGACACACGGTCAATCACATGGTTAACTAAAAAGTGACCATTTAAAACAAACCACTGATTCAGCTGACCTTCTTCTTAATTATGATATGACAGCTAATAGGTCTCAGAAGCTCTGCTATATATGTACGAGCCTGTAAAAACACACAATGGAAGACTATCTAGTTATGGATCGGCCTCCCCAGTGTCGTTTTGTCAAACTGTTGAAATCATGAATGCAGAAAAGTATAGTCAGATTTTATTTCACCATGCAATACCATCTGGCAATGATCCCAAACCCACTGCCAGTGCAATAAAAAACACTACCTGTGCACTCAAAGTACTTTACACAACATGCCTCATTCACTCAAGCACTTTTTTCTATACTTTTTCCTACTTAAGTGTTTTCTATCCAAAATTCACGCTCCAATGGATGCATCAGAGAGCAACTCGGGTTTAGGATATTTGGCATGCAGAGTAGTCAGCGATTGAACCACCAGCCTTCACGATTAGTAGATGACCTGTCCTACCTAGCTACAGCCACCCAGGTGAAAGCATATCTGGGTAGAAAACAGACAGCAGAATCTCCCTAGAACTAAGCCCTCAACAATATCGAAGCAGTGTGGGATCATCTTGACAGAGAATGGAACAAAAGGAAAAAACATCCAAAGAAGAGATTTGAATGTTCTTCAAGAAGCCTGGAGAAATCTTCCAGATGACTACTTAACACGAAGGTTTTCCTGAGAGTTTAGGCAATGTTGAAGAATAAAGGTAGTCACATCAAGTATTGACCTTGAGCTTGTTAGAGTTGTACAAACATTTATTTCTTTATTATTATTGCTTTTTTTCAAGATAATTAGAGGTATAGGCTTGGTTTTTACCATATATACCGGTACTGTATTTTCTGTATTTCAAAATCTGCACAGAGATTATTCTGCTCAGTCAAGTAAGAACCACAAGCAACAAAAAGTAGGCGGCAACAAAATAGAACAGAGGAAGAGATTACTTTTATTTTGATAATTCCTCCTGCAATCAAGCAATTTTCTGCGCTTAATATTGAAATAGGCATTAACATTGCATGCACACATCATTGTAAACTTGCACTTGTGTAAACCCCAACAATCACTATCAGCTTCATCTGTATTACAGTGATCTAATGACTGAGGCATGATGGCAGTAAATAAATATCTTCTCTTATTTTCTTGTGTTTTCTCTTAACATGCAAACACACTCACACATATGCACATCCAGCAGAAACAGTACATTCTATTCTCTCATAAGTTAATTCATATTGAAGATGTACTTTAATCAAGTGGGTTTCGATATTAAGGCCTTAAACATTAAAAAAATGTCTGAGAACAGATACTATATGACACAAGCTCAACATCAGTGTGACAACATCTTAGACGATAAATAAGTGGTATTTATAAAGAATTTAAAAACCAAGTCTTTGTAAGAAAAAGGTTCAGGGCATAATATGTTGAACAGTGTTAATATCACTCTGCAACTTCAACATAATTAGCTGGGTAGAACCCCTCCTTCCCACCGCTCAGTGCTCCTCGGCACCAGCCTTGATCGTCCTCTTCCTCGACCTTCAGGAATACCTCACCTGGCATCAAACAGAACAAAACTCAGTTCAGTTATGGGCATACAACACGGTGAAATTAATGTTAATTAAGGCAAAAATTCAACTGATGTTGTAAAGACATATTTCAAAAGGAGATTGGAGTCATATATATAAAAGAATATTAGAGTTTGGACATCTTGCTGTTACACAGCACTAAAATAAACAAGCGTGGAAGTGTGCAGGGAATAAAAACACACATCTGTTTAGGTTTCATGTTGGCTTAACTGACAGTAACAGTTGTTTTTTGCTCCATGTGTCATCCTGCGGTTCAGATATGGGTTTCCAGGCAACCTTGCAAATGCTGTCTTGTGTTTTTCTGCGGTTAAGATTTCGGCACCCTAGGGCAGTGGGTCCTAACCTTTTTCTGGTAAGCCACATGCACACAGTCTATTAATTTCATGATCCACATTGCATGCTTTTTTGGTGTATCATTCAAGAGATAATAAAAAAAGATCCAAGTTGAATTTAGTGAAATAATGATCAGCATAAAAGCATTAACAAGCTCTTGTTTGTTTACATTTTTATGCACAAATCATATTCATTCAGCTTAATTTTACTCCATACTTTTCCCGTGGCCATTTACAAGTTATTAAAATGAAACTACAGCAGCATAAACCATAAAATATCACATTAGTAATTCCACGCAGCACACTTGTGTTCACCAGCCCGTCTATCATCATTTTAGAAGGACTGATTACAATTCTGTCCTCCTACGCGTATTTATGTTGATGTGGCGGTTGTAATTTGGCATAAACATCTTGCCTTTACACCGAGAATAAAATGGCGTTGTTGCGTCACACTGTATGTGTCACCTGCTTTAAAGGACAGCTCATCACCCTCCTCTCCCACGTAGTCGTACAAAGCTCGCACCTTCACACCCCCAATCATCACACTAGGAGGAGAGGAAAAGTAAAAACGACGAATATGAATCAGGCGGAAAAATGTATTGTCCACCTCTGGATCATTATTATTTATTCAGACGTGAAAAAGAAAGTTTTCACAGGACTGCATAGCGTGAATAACTAACTATACCCTATGATTCAGCAACTTGTAGAATTACCTTCAGCAGCAATAACTCAAAGTAATCATTTTCTGTGTGACTCACATTATTGCAGAGGAATTTTGACTTAATCTTTTTTACAACCTTGCTTCATCTCATTGAGGTTTGAGAGTATTCATTTATATCCAGCTCCTGTAAAGATCTGCCACAACGTTTCAGTCAGACTTTGACTGGACCATCGCAACACCTTTGATTCTTTTCCTTTTCCGCCATTGTTGTAGATTCACTGCTGTGCGTAGGATCGTTGTCCTGTTGCTTGATCCAGCTATCAGACAGATGTCCTTACATTTTACTCTAGAATACTTTGGTATTCTAGTTCATGGTCAACTCAATGTCTGCAAACTGTTCAGGTCCTTTGGCTGAAAACAAACCCAAAAAAGCACACCTCCACCAGCGGTGACAGTTGATATGAGATGGCAATCCTTCCAAACAAGCCATACTTTTCCAATTGTTCAGTCATAAACTTTAACATTTAACACGTTAAGTCCTGTAGCTTTTTGATTTTTGCAGGTGATAAACTTACTGATGAAAAATTAAGCAAATGCATTTGGTTACTTGATGGTTTTTGGCTGCTAATTATCTTCTTAATTCCTATGGATGGTGTAGATAGTTTTTTACAGAACTGTATAAGAGCACACACACCACTTGGGGTAACTTACGGTCGGCTTTCCTTTCCTTTTTGGTCTCTCTTCTTTCGCTTGAGCTTTTTTACTGGTGGGACCCATTCCTGATGTAACATGAAAAAGAATATATAGGTTAACATGTAGCTCCCTGACAAAAACTGCAAAAAAGAGCTGCAAAAACACAATTCATGGCTCTGAATTCAAAACACCTTGCATATT